ACCGCCCGGCGACTTACTGCAAATTTTATGATTTCGATTTTTTAATGGCAAAATAATATTCCATTGTGTAAATGTGCCACATTTTTATTATCCATCCATCTGTTAATGGACATCTAGGCTGTTCTTAGTTTCTGGTTATTATGAATAGACTAGCAATGAACATGGATGAGCAAGTGTCTCTGTAGTAGTATAAAGCATCCTTTGGATATATGCCCCAGAGTGGTATAGCTGGATCTTGAGATAGGTATATTCCTACCTCCCAGAAGAACCCACACACTGATTTTTACAGTGGCTGTGCAAGTTTGCAGTCCCAGCAGCAAAGGATGAGTGTTCTCCTTATACCACATCCTACCCAATAAGAACTGTCATTTGTTTTATTGATCTTGGCTATTCTGACTGCTGTAAGATGAAATCTCAAAGTACTTTTGATTTGCATTTTCCTGATAACTTAGGTTGTTGAACATTTCTTTAAGTTCCTGGCCATTTGTGTTTTATCTTTTGAGAACTCTGTTTAGTTCTGTATTCTTTGGGGAGGCAGTATTTGTTTTCTTGTTGTTCAGTTTTGTTTTTAGTTCTTTGTATATTTTAGATATTAATCCTCTATTGGATGTGCAGTTGGTAAAGGCCTTTTCCTATTCTGTAACCTGATGCTTTATCCAAATGTTGATATCCTTTGCTGTTTCTTGAGGACCGATTTGTTAATATTTTGTCTTAGTGCTTGTGCTAATGGTGTTCTGTGCAGAAAAATCTTTTCTGGTGTCAATGTTTTCAAGTCTATTCCCCACTTTCTCTTCTATCAGATTGAGTATATCTGGCTTATGTTTAGGTCTTACATTGGGTCTATTTACATTCTTCTACATGCAGCCATCCAGTTTGACCAACACCAATTGTTGAAGATACCGTCCTTTTCTCAGTGTATTGTTTGGTTTCCTTAACAAAAATCAATTGTCTATACGTTTCTGGACTCAAGTCTGGGTCTTCAGTTCACATTGATCAACATTTCAGTTTTATGCCAATACCATACTGTTTTTATTACTGTAGTTCTGTAGTACAACTTAAAATCTGGGATGGTGATACCTTTGGCAGTTCTTTTATTATTCAGACTGTTTTAGTTCTGTGTTTTGTGTGTGTGTGTGTGTGTGTTTCCATATGAAGGTAAAAGTTGTCCTTTCATGTTCTGTAAAGACTTTCATTGGAATTTTGAGGGGATTGCATTGAATATGTAGGTTGCTTTTGGTAGGGTGGCTGTTTTTACTATCCTGCCACTCTGGATAGGGCATAGGAGATCTTTGAACCCTCAGATTCTCAAGGGTTTGTCTCACCCTCAGCAGAAGATGTACTCCCATCCTCACCCCTGAAATATTGCCTTTTCTGCCTTTAACTGGGGAAACTAATCCTCCATTGTCTGCTAAACCAACTGTGACTTTCCCTGAAGGATATCAAGGCAAGGCACTACTGATGACCCACCAATAGTTGCTTCTACACCTGTAACCAGATTTAAGGCTAAGCAGGCTCCTAGAAGGGAGGTACCAAGTGTATTCCACCAGGAAGTACACTACACTGCTAAAGGGCTTAATGAGTTTGCCAATTCGTTCTAGCAGAAGTCTGGGGAATATGTGTGAGAATGGATTTTAATGCTGTGAGATAATAGTGGAAGGAACATAAAACTGGATCAAGCTGAATGTATTGATATGGACCCATTGAGTGGAGATTCTATATTTAATATGGAAGATTGCACAGTTTTAAAAAGTGTCAAAGTTTTGTTTGAATGGTTGACTGAAGAAGCATTTGTCAGAAGATGGCCTACGGAAAAGGAGTTTGAGATCCTTCGGCTTAGTTTTAATGAAGGGATTTTAGGATTGCAGGAAACTGCAATGCTAGAGTATAGACTATTTGTAAAACCTGACTCTCCACAATGGGAAGGCCCCTTCACCAATCCTATAAGATGCAAAATGGGGAGGCGGCGGGTACCACCACATTTAAAGAGTTATATTGTTCCTTGTGCCAGACCTCAGGGTTGAAGACACCGATATTCACTCAGATGAATTGAAAAATTGGTTTATTGAGCCTCAAAATAGCAGGGGTCAGGTGGCAGCATTGAATCACCAAAGGCAATGTGATCATAGTTATCAGAATTGGCAACATAGACAAAACATTGTCCATGATGATCTGACCCATATTAAACAGCACAGGCAAAGTGATTTTTATGGGGAAAAGACTCGTATGAACCTTTGATACTGGTTAATCATCATGTTTCCAGGCATGAAATGGATAAGAAGAAGCCCACTGCATTTTTGTCCGATCTGTATATACAGAAAAGTTCTCAAATGAAAGAAAGGCTACCTTGGATCATGGCAAAAGGGAATCTTGGGCCCATGAACCAATTTCCAGACTTGAATCAGTTTTCAGACCCAGAAATCCTTGAATGAAAGGAAAGGCAGGTTTCACTGAGGAAGGGCCTTGATAAAAATACCTAAGAGTTCTACTGTTGTTAGCCTTTCTCCTGTTTTTTTCTAGAGGGACTTAGATTTTTTACAAAGGTAACTGTACACTGGTGAAATGGAAACAGTCAGACTTTCCAGGGTCTATTGGATACTGCTTCTGAATTGATGCTCATTCTGGGAGACTTCAAGAAACAGTGTAACCATTTAAAGTAGGGGCTTATGCATCAGGTGATTAATGGAGTTTTGGCTGAAGTCTGACTCACAGTAGGTCCAGTGAATCCCCAGACTCATCCTGCAGTTATTTCCCCACTCCTAGAATGTATAATTGGGATAGGTATACTTAGAAGTTGGCTTAGAAGCTGTGTATCTTTTTATTAGGAAATTGAGACCATTAATATCAAAAGTTATCAATGAGTAATATTTATCGTTTCCTGTTATATTGTCATGGTGTGGGTCTCCGCTTTGGATTTACTGATCTGGGGATTATTTATCCGTTTTGGAGTCTTGCATGTGGTTAACCTCTTAAGACTGAAGTTTTCCTTCTTGTGCCTTCTGTAGGACTGGATTTGTAGATAGATATCGCTTAAATTTGGTGTTATCTTGGAATGTTTTTCTTTTTCCATTTATTGTGATGAAAATTTTGCTGGATAATGTAGTCTGGGCTGGCATCTGTGGCCTCTTAGAGTTTATAGAGCCTCTGCCCAGGGCCTTTTGGCTTCTAGCATCTCCACTGAGAAATCAGGTATTGTTCTCATGGGTCTTCCCTTATATGTTATTTGGTCTTTTTTGTCTTGCAGATTTGAATATTCTTCCTTTGTTCTGTAAGTTTAGTGTTTGAATTATTATTAAGTGTCAGGGGGAGTTTCTTTTCTGGTCTAATTTACCCAGCATTCTGTATGCTTCCTATACCCTGATAGGCATGTCCTAAACTAGGGTGTCAGAAACTTTTTATAGTGCAGGAAAACCATTAATTCTTTTAGAATTTACTTCAGCTATTTTTACAATTTACTTCAGCTATTTACTTGAGCTAAGTCTGTGAAAACACAGTTTAATGAAATAATGAAAACAATTTATTACATGAAAGTCGAATTTAATAAAGAATTAGAATTACTAAAGAAAATCCAAACTGAAAGAAAACTGGAATAATAAATTTAAGAACTCAAATAAAAATCTCAGAAGTAAGCTTAACCAAAAGATGAAAGGACATGGAAGAGAGTCTCAGGTGTTGAAAACAAGGTAGCAGAAATGGACAACTGAGTCAAAGAAAATGCTTAATCTAAAAAAAAATCCAGGCACAAAAAAAGATCCAGGAAATCTAGGACACTATGAAAAGACCAAATCGAAGGAAGCATAATAGGAATACAGGAAGGAGAAGAAACCCAGATCAAAGGCACAGGAAATATTTTCAACAAAATCATGGAGGAAAATTTCACCAATTTAAATTTCACTAGGTGTTCAGGATCCCAGTGTATCCCCCATCCTTTTTCAGGGTAACCTTTTAAGCACAAACCACATCCTGCATTGACGAACCTCAGTTAGGAAAAGCAGCCAGAAGCAGAAGTACAGAAGCCAAAACGCAAGATTAGTACATTTACAGACTTTCCCAGATCTATGGACGTTGATGAATTAGGTCTTTGTTTTTATTTTGGCAAGTGGTGCTGCCATATTCTGAGTGTTATGGCCTGGATGATTATTTCCATCATGGCATCAGTTGTGCTAACGTCTAGGTGCCCATTACCCTTGCCCAGTGATGTTGTGTATGCACACATATATAAATATAACCTGCTGAGTCTGTTTTTGTTGTTCATATGTGTGTAGTTTCAGGCATAAGCATTTTGTATTAGATAACCAATTAGGGGACTTATCCCTGGGAGAGGCTAATTCTGCTCTTTAAGCAGTCATTGGTTGCCTATAGTTCCTTGTCTAGAGCCCATGAGATTTTCCTTCTTCTGCAATAACATAGATACTGATATTGCCATTGTTCTGGTCTTATTTATGCAGCCATTTCTAGGAGAGACTGCCACACCAGACTTACCAGTACTCTGGCTTTTCTAATCTCTCTGCTTTTCAGTGATATGTCTGAGTCATAGATGCAGGAGCTGTGATGTAGATTTGTTAATGAGGCTGGGCTCCCCACAACCTTTTGATCTCCGTATTGTGTCTAGTTGTGGCTTTCTGTGATAGTCTACATTTCCTGTAAGAGAAGCAAGCATCTTTGATAAAGGGTAATAACTACACTTACCTGTGGGTATAAGGATAAGATTAGTTTATATTTACCTAAAATTACAATGCATATAAGCCAATATATATCCATATTATATACATAAATAACATACTAATCTTAAAGGAAATTGTGCCTCTTCGTCTGACAATGCTTTCCACAAGAACTGTAGACTAACAATAAATACTAAGCACAGGAAAATTCCTTTGGAATGTGTGGCCAGGGTAGTCCAGTTGACTCTCAATACAATATAGACTAATGTTGTTGCCTTTGGCTGCTTCTTAGAAACTGAAGATAAGCTCCTATTGCTGAAGACACCACATAGTGAAGACAAAGGGCTCAGATTATTTGAGCTTAATCTAACCTGAAAGTGGCTTTTCTTCATTCTAGTTTCCATGGTACCATGAAATACTGTGCAGGCTGCCATGGGAAGGAAGCAATTGATAGTCCTACCCAGCTGTGACATTTGTGAACCACCATAGCATGGTAAGATACCTGTAAAGTTGCATTAGTGGTACTCACTTGTCATTGTAACCAACAGCTCCTCTAATTGGACTTAGGGCCTCCTAAATCATGCCTAGTACTAAGAACCTAACCAAATTCATGGTGCTGATAAGATCATGTTTCTTACACAAAAGAATCTGTTTCTGCCACTTTGTTAGACCAATGTATTTCCTAACTACATTCTAAATCTTACCCTCATAGCCATAGTTAATAGAATTAAGATATACCATTGAGAGTTTTAAACAACAGAGTATATGTGAAATAATTACTACCGAATTAACTATTATCCCAGAGGAGATCACTTTAGTTTGCTATACAGTTTTCCAGATTCTTTCCCTGAGAGCATGTTGTAATCTTTTGAAATAGAATTATGTTGCAAATACAGTACTCTAATTTTTCTTTTGTCACCTTCTATGATAGACTTACTTCTCATGTCCATGTTCAGAGAGGAAGAAGCCCATTGCTTATAATTTCCCAACCCAAGTCCCTTTAGTTGGTAATTTTGTGATTATTTTGCTTTGATGCCTGTTGTGGTTTCTCCCAAATATCTTATTTCTTGTTACTTAATTTTGAATTTTTATAAGAACACGTCTGTGGTGATATTGTGTTCCCCAAAATATTGTGCACCCTAATAAACTTATCTGGGGTCAAAGAACAGAACAGCCACTAGATATAGAGGCCAGAAAATGCTGGCACATAGGCCTTTAATCCTAGCATTCTGGAGGCAGAGGTCCATCTGGATCTCTGTGAGTTCAAGGCCACACTGGAAACAGCCAGGCATGGTAACAGGAGCCTTTGATCCCAGGAAGTGATGGCAGAAAGCAGAAAGGTATTTAAGGCGTGAGGACGAGTAACTACAGCTGGTTAGACTTACAGGTTTTTGAGCAGCAGTTCAGCTGAGATCCATTTGGATGAGGACTCAGAGGTTTCCAGTCTGAGGAAACAGAATCAGCTGAGGAACTGGCGAGATGAGGTGGCTGTGGCTTGTTCTGTTTCTCTGATCTTCCAGCGTTCACCCCAATACCTTGCTCCAGGTTTATTTTCATTAATAAGACCTTTTAAGATTCACGCTACACACGTCCTTGTTTCTGTGTTGTTAACCCTATAACTTTGTAGCTAATCATGTTCTTTAATTATTATTATTTTAATCTGTCTTTTGTTTCCCCTACAAATACAGCCAGAGATCCTGACCTGATTTCACCATACCCTCTACCCTGTAGAGTCTACAGGGTTTTAGGTGATGAGTACTTTGGAGAGTTGCCGAAAACAGAACAGAACTGCTGTGGCACGGTTCTCTGGAGATACTTTTCATGCTTTGACAGATTCACAGGGACAGAGAACTAATGGAGGGAAGGACACCTTCTGTGTGCTATTCACTAGGAATTTCAAGCTTGATTAAGACTATGAGGACTCACCCTAAAGACCTAGAATATCATTTTGGGGAAAATAAAGGATATGTTCCCCTGCTGTTGCCTTGGGATCTCTAGATGGTTTATAATCTATCCTCATCCATCAGGAAAATAGGGATTTCAACAGCTAGTCAAATCTAGTTGGAACAATCTGTCTTTTGCCTCTGTGTCCTGGGAACTTAGGAGCACTCGTATATAACATGTCTACACTGAGGTCAGGAAGTTGTTCAGGAATGCTGTGTATTATTTTTCCCTGTAGTATTGTGATTAGAACTCTTAGGAAATTTGAGATGAGTTCAAGTTTCAAAGTGCAGCTCTTCTTACAAAGAGATAAATGTCCCTTCCAGTTAAATGTGCATTTGATGGTTGCAAAGTCTCCACCCTGCATTACCATTACAGAGGTAAGGATAAAGTATCTCAAACTGTCAGCTCTTTAGACAGTCAGAGACTGTACTGCTTTTAGACTGTGGCAGCATTTTAATGAAAGGCTGCTTGTGTTTTGTGCTTGAAATGTGGATCACAAAGTCACACGTGGGGAAAAAGAAGACACAGACTGTGTGTGGAAGTATTTGTATAGAGAACCCTATTCTGTCTTGATTTGTTACACATGCTGTATTGTTGTTTACCTGACAATCACCAGAGAAAGCTGTTTGTATCTTGTGTGGGTTTCTTTTATTTTATCTACTTGTTAACAGTATTTTCAAAATTTTGGCTCATGTATCTGTTGAAAACCTTAACCTCCCTATCATCTAGTGGCAAAGGTATTTCTTTAAATATTGTTGCAGTTTCTACAAGCATCTAAATTTGTAATTTTTTTTTGTTTTAGAAAAGCTTGTCTTTTCTATGAAATCAAATGAATTCCCAGAGGAAAATCAATAGGTTTTACATAGTCTCTATTTTCAGCTGATTTTTAACTTCCATTTAGAAGGCAATTTTAAAACTTAGTATTTTGCTAATGTTAGCTGCTTCATAAGTAATTTTCTGTCCCAAGCTTCTGTGACGATTAATAAAAGTATGCATGTGTAGCTAATACCAGTTTCTTGTAGCACTATAGGGAAGATAAAACTTCGGTTTGGTTTTTTGTGAGGATCTCACACCCCAAGGTTTTCTCACAAGTACTAGGATTGTAGGCATTTACTGCCCTCAAGCTCCTTTGGAGTCAGGTGAAAACAGTTCACAGTAGATAGACACTATTTTTTTAAAGAAAGTCTTAATGTGCTTAACCCTTATTAGATAAGTTTCTACAAAGGTAAATTTGTCCTCAAATGTTGAAATCACTGCTACATATTTCTACACAATGAACAAAGCATAAAGGAGGTTAAGATAAAGAATACAATGTGCAAAATAGGTATTTGAAGGTCAGCTTATAAATTTATATTCAGTTATTACTCACACAGGTTGTACCTGAAAATGACTTGACACAGTTTGGGGGAAAAAACAAGTGGAAGCATGCCTTTAGAAAAGAACAAGAATGAGGCCAGGCATGGTGCCACAGTCCTGGAATCCCAGAACTTGGGAAGTGGGGGCAGGACCAGCAGTTCAGGGGCAGTGTTGGGTACATAACAAGCTCAAGGTGTCTCTGCTACTGGGTCTGAACATTTCAAAAGTAAAGAAAGGAACTCGGGCAAGAAAATATGTACCGTATAAAGAGGACTAGGCAAACTACACAACCAATTCTAAGGAATGCTAATAGGCTTAAACAAAATTTATACATGAAGAGTGCATACGAGGAAATACGAGGAAGTTATATTGCTCTTACTGAATAAAATGTGTGTGTGTATATATATATATGTATATATATATATATCGTATGTATTATTAGGTTATGCAAACTGTATTTTAGTCTCACTAGTGACTATGTAGTTTATGCAAATCTACAAGTAGCAGAATGTATTGTTTTAACGAGAGTAGTTGAAGTGCAGAAACTTAATAAGAATAGTAGAAAGTACTTTTGAAGATGGAACAAGGTCTACATATTTTAAAACCATTACAAGCAGTAGTAAGTTACTATGTCAAAATCATGGGAGTTTTTAAAACTGGAAGAGTTATTCTCTACTGATAGGAATGACCTTGAGGAGACAGGCTCGTTTTTCTCCCTGAGTCTAGATGCTGGCATGCTTTGCATGCCATGCTTCATGTCAGGAATAACATGAGTTTAAATAAATTATTGTCATTTGGACTATGCATTAGAGTTTTTTACCTCCATGAAGATGGTTCTTTGGTTAGAAGGTTAACAGGCTTCACATAGATGACAACTGGGAGTTTGATGGGAGAGGAATTGATCTACAGCAAACTTACTAAGTTCCAAATTCACAAACATTAGGTCTAGCCACCCTCTTTTTTTCTTTGTATTACGTTCAATTCATTAGAAAAATGTTGATGCAGTATTCTTTAATTTTGTACTTACCCTTCCCTTACTACTGTGCTGCTCATGCTAGACTAATGTCTTCTCTTGCCTGGACTGTAAACATAGCCTTTTTCTGGTCTTCCTGCTGCCACAGTTTCCTCACAGGACTCCCTCTGCAGCCAAGATGATTTGTTAAAATGTGAAGCAGATGTTGGTGTTTTCTAGTCTCATATAGTGACACTGTAATGGCCTTTACCAACCAATGTGCTCCTTTTCCCTTTCTGTGCCTCTGGTGTCTTCTATTGTCATGATTCTCTTCTCTTATCCAAACACTGCTCTTTGTTCTTCAGCACACAGATAAACAAAATCTCCACCAAGGATTTGGTAATTAATGTTCTAGGGTTTACTTCCCTGTAGGTGGAAGTTTTCCTGTGTCCCTCCCAGTCCTGCATCTGCTCAGTCCCAAGTAAACATACAGAGGCTTATATTAATTAGAAACTGTATGGCCTATGGCTCAGGCTTCTTGCTAGCTAGATCTTATAACTTAACCCATTCCTATTTATGTGTTGCCATGTGGCCACAGTGTTACCAATCTGCTGGTGTCTTGTTGCCCCTTGGCGGGCTGGCATCTCTCCTGACTCCACCCTTCTCCATCTCAGTCTTCAGTTTGAATGTACCGCCTACCCTTATTCTGCCTCACCATTGGCCAAATCACTTTATTTATCAACCAATGAGAGCAACACATTCACAGCATACAGAAAGACATCCCACAGCACTCCCCAACATCTTTGGTACTGAAGTAACTGTCAGACAATCCTGATGTTATAACATTCACCCTGTCCTTTCACATTTACTCACCTGGCACCTTATTTTTCTCCTTTGCACTTATCCATTGGCTTATTTATCTGTTTATTTTGTTTTCTTTTCCCAACAGAAAATGGGTGCTTTAGAAGCCAGGACTGAGCTCTGTTTATTATTCAGGACCCAGAGTCTAGAAATTGTTGACATGCAATAGGTGGTCTCTAATGTCCCTAATATGAAAGGATCCTATCACATTAGAGAGTCCTGTCCTCAAATCAGAGCACTAGCATGTATTAGCACTGCCAGTGATTTTAAACCAGTAATTAGCTGAAAGCCAGACATTTGCATTCAAATCTGAACCGTATGCCATTGTGATGCAGAGTGAACAAGGAGTCTTTGCAGCTGATGCCCAGTAATTTTTGTTGTTAGTCGTGTTCTCTGGTAAAATACTCAGACTCAATTTTACAAGTTATGTGACTATAGTGCCTACGTCTATTCAGGCTTTTACTGCTTGACTCAGAAAGCATTTGAGTAGAAGCATCTCTCCCTAGAATTTGCAACATAGTGGTACTTAACTCTGGCTTCCTGATACACTTAGCTTTAAGTGGCAGATTCTAAGGTGCTGCCATAAATTTTGGCTCAGGGCTGCATGGATTCAACATGTGGCCGCATGGCTGAAGCAAGCTGGGAGTCTTTTGAAACCTGGAAGTTGAAATAATGCTCACATCAAAGTGTTAGGGAGAGTGGAGGACTAAATGAAACAATGCACTGAAATGCTTAGAATTGAGTACAGAGAACTCTCACAAAGGCTTCAGTGGTGTTACACTTAGTGCTGCTCTCTTAGAAAGACTTCATTTTATTCTACTCTTTATTTTTCTCATGTCTCAACAGCCTTCTAAGCCCTTCTACAGTGGTGACATATGGAAAAAACTGTACAGTCACTTAGTTTGAGGACAATTAGAGCCAGAATATTGTAAACAACGAAATGGAGGAATCACTGAACTAACTGACATTACTTGGATAATTTCCTTTTTATTTCAAACCCTATTTTCTTAATACCTCATTCCTATCATGAAAAAGATAAATACAACAGAAAGACAAACCTCAAATAGCAGAAATCACTATGTGTTTGTTGGGCTGATATTTAACAGAGGGGCTAATTTGACTAAAGTCACCACTGACGAAGGATTTGAGAATGGAGCAGAAGCATTGAGAATGAACACTTTTTCTTTTTGTAATTAAAGGTCAACTGTGGGGAATAAGTGGAATATGAAGTGTCTCCCATCCCCACAAAAAGCTGCTGTTAGTGGCATGATTGCCAGTTGAAGGCCTTTTAGAAAGTTATGGATAAGGAGTCTGGTCAAGCCAATAGATTAATTTATTGCTGGATTTATCACTGAATGGATTACTAGGAGGTGGCAGAAACTGAGTAGTATGACGAGATTGGACAAATCTGTTCTCTGGAATCATGCTCTTGAAAGGTATTTCTTTTCCCCCATTTCTTGGCTTCCTGAACAACAGGACCTAACGTGAGCATTTTCAATCTACCATGCCCTTGTGGCATGATTCCATCTTGCCATGCATCTGAACGTTATATGGACCCATGAGCTGAAAACTGAGACCCTAAGCTAGAATAAATTCTGCCTCCCTTATGTTTGCTTAGGAATCCCATGAGGCTGACCAAAAGCTAGTTAACATGGTGCCTTTCCATTCAAAGAGCAGATTTCATTGAGTTCTTACCTGTGTTCAGAGCTGAGAGAATTCAAGAGATAGCAGTCAGTAAGCCATCAGTGCCTGCAAAAAATAATAGCAGAATGAATCAGGCTGCTGCTGGTAGTGCTGAACTTGTTTATAGGATTTTGGTGTCTTTCATGGTTTGGGACCATCTCTAGTTTTCTGGATATGTAAGTGTCTTAGCTAGGATTTCTATTGCTGTGACAAAACACCATGATCAAAAAGCAAGTGCAGGGAGTGCTTATTGGCTTGCACTTCAACTTTGCTGTTCATCATTGAAGGAAATCAGGGCAGGGTCCTAGAGGCATGAGCCGATGCAGAGGCTCTGGAGGGGAGCTGCTTACTGGCTTGCTTCTGATGGCTTGCTCAACTTGATTTCTTATAGAACCCAGGACCACCAGCCCAGGGATGGCACCACCCACAAGGCGCTGGGTCCTCCTCCATTGATAAATTGAGAAAATGCCTTACAGCTGAATCTCATGGAGGCCATTCCTCAACTGAACCTCCTTCCTCTGTGATGACTCTAGCTTGTGTCAAGTTGACAAATGAAACTAGCCAGTACAGTAAGCTAGTGTAATTTTGTAATAATGTGTTTCTCATTTTAGTGACTGAAAGAATGAGAAATCATCCCACCAGAATTTATTTGTTTTCCTGTTTTGTTTTGTTAGTTTAGTTTAGTTTAGTTTAGTTTAGTTTTGAGACAGAATCTCACTCATAGCCCAAGCTACCCTGGAACTGTGTAGCCCAGGCTGCCCTGAAACTATGTAGTCCAGGCTGCCCTGGAACTATGTAGCCTAGGCTGTCCTGGAACTATGCAACCCAGGCTGCCAGGGAACTGTGTAGCCCAGGCTTTCTTGGCACTGACAGTAGCCTTGCCTTAGCCTTCCAGTGCTAAGACTATAAGCATGAGCTACCACACCTAGTTAAGTGTTTTTCTCAAGCAAGGCTGTATAAATCAGTGTCGTTACGGTAGCACTTTTGATCGTCTTCGCATGTCACTGGGCTCAAGAACACTTGGGAGAACAGTAAAAGAGTGCACTAATTTATGGTATCCCCTTCTTCAGTTAAGAAAGGCATCAGTCAGTGTTCCCAAGGAGCATCCAAAACACAAATGCAGAACTCTACTTTGTCTGTTGTGGTACTAGAGCTGCTGTTACTCGGAATTTGTGCAAAAGCATCTGATGTAACACATAGTCAAGACAGCAGAATGCCATGTCTGAGTCATTGTTTTACTCATATAGAAATTCTGTTAGAATATTTCGCTATACTATGGGAAATGTCCATTTGTAATTGTCATTGGCAAAAACATTGGATTCCACTGAATGTCTGGGTGAATATACCATCAGAAAAGGCCATTGATTATTTTAAGATACCATATAAACAAGCTTTCTATGTTTCTCAGCCTCTCATGAGGCAGAACTCATTTTTTCTCATTTTCATTATGGTAAGTTTAGCTTTTAAGACTATAAGCAAATAGAAGTTCAGGCTAACTCTAAGAAACTTGACAGAAGATTCATGCTGCCTTTTCCTAGCTATGAAACGGGCAATGATTTTAATGGTCAAATTTGTCTGTATCTTTAATAGACACAAATGATATACAGAGAAATTTTCACACTTGAAATAACCAAAGGAATTCTAACTTCTGCTGGCAATAGGCCGTTGAAGACTCATAATTAATTGATGTGTGTCATTGACTTCCCTTCAGTGATTTTGGATTGGATGGGAAATAATCTAAATGATACATATTTTCTGTAATACTCAGTATTTTTCTATTTCATTCACTTTGAGGAAATGTGATTTGTTTGGACCTGTTTATTCTTCTGTCAAATTCTTTTGAAATTTCTTTTCAAAAGGAAAAGGAGAAGAGCTTATGAATGCTAAAGAAATGGCCCATGTGTATTGACAAAGATGTGCTGTAGACTTCCCCAGGATTCAGGGAGACTGTCAGAATGTTGGTTTTGTTGTGCAACCACCGTCCCTATCTTTATAACGAGCAACAACTTTTGATCTGGAATAAATAAGGCTATCAGAGTGAAGCTCTGTAAGATGAATATCATAATGCTAAAAAAGAACCAAATGTCCCCACATACTTTTCTTTTCTTATAGACAAAAAACCATTAAGCTAAAATCCAAAGAAGGGCTTGTCATCACACACCTGCACTCCTAGTACTATGAGGCAGAGACAGAAGCATCAAGGGTTCGAAGCCAGTCCTGGCTCTGTAGCTTAGTTGAAGTCAATCTAAGCTAAGTGAGTCCCTATCTCAAAAAAGAAAAAGAAAAAGAAATTAAAAGCCAGAGAATTTGGGTGAATTTAGGACCCTTTGATCCCACAGTTTGTACTTTCAGGAAAGTTGTATAAAACAGTCCATTTTAACTGTTAGCCACATGGTTTAGGACAGGCTTGCTGAACCAGGCAAGGGTCTGATACATCCATCGCTACACACCTGCTGCTTCCAATGTAGTCACTTCCAGCTTCTGCACTGTAAAAAGCATGCTCCCAGGCCTGTTGACCAACATCACCACAGAGATTGAAGGACAACTCTAATCTATTCTCGAATAGAGGTTTTTGAAGTATGACCTGATGATTCTCTGGATTTCCTCAATGTCTGTTGTTATGTCCCCCTTTTCATTTCTGATTTTGTTGATTTGGATGCTCTCTCTCTGTCTTTTGGTTAGTTTGGATAAGGGCTTGTCTATCTTGTTGATTTTCTCAAAGAACCAACTCTTTGTTTCATTAATTTTTTGTATTGTTCTCTTTGTTTCTATTTTATTGATTTCAGCTCTCACTTTGATAATTTCCTGGCGTCTATTTTTCCTGGGAGACTGTGCTTCTTCTTGTTCTAGAGCTTTCAGGTATGCTGTTAAGTCTCTAGTGTGAGATTTCTCCAACTTATTTATGTGGGCATTTAGTGCTATGAATTTCCCTCTTAGTACTGCTTTCATAGTGTCCCATAAATTTGGATATGTGGTGTCTTCATTTTCATTGATCTCTAGGAAGTCTTTAATTTCTTTCTTTATTTCTTCCTTAACCCATTGGTGATTCAGTTGGGTATTATTCAGTTTCCATGAGATTGCAGGTTTTCTGTAGTTTTTGTTGTTGTTGAAATCCAACTTTAGACCATGGTGGTCTGATAGAACACAGGAGGTTATTCCAATTGTTTTGTATCTGTTTAGATTTGTTTTGTGGCCAAGTATGTGGTCAATTTTAGAGAAGGTTCCATGGGGTGCTGAGAAGAAGGTATATTCTTTTTTGTTAGGATGGAATGTTCTGTAGATATCGATTAAGTCCATTTGAGTCATGACATCAGTTAAGTCCTTTATTTCTCTGTTAAGTTTCAATTTGGGAGATCTGTCCAGTGGTGAAAGTGGGGTGTTGAGGTCTCCCACTATTAATGTGTGGGGTTTTATATGTGATTTAAGCTTTAGTAATGTTTCTTTTACATATGTGGGTGCCCTTGTGTTTGGGGCATAAATATTCAGAATTGAGACTTCATCTTGGTGGATCTTTCCTGTGATGAGTATGTAATGCCCTTCTTGATCTCTTTTGATTGATTTTAGTTTGAAGTCTATTTTGCTGGATATCAGGATGGCTACACCCGCTTGTTTTTTAAGACCGTTTGATTGGAAAGTCTTTTCCCAGCCTTTTATTTTTAGGTAGTGTCTATCTTTGAATTTGAGATGTGTTTCTTGTATGCAGCAGAAAGATGGGTCCTGCTTTCGTATCCATTCTGTAAGCCTATGTCTTTTTATAGGTGAATTAAGTCCATTGATATTGAGGGAAATTAATGACCAGTGATTGTTCATTCCTGTTATTTTTTGGTGGTGATGTGTGTGTACTTCTCTTCGTTGGGGTTTACTGCTGTGGCTTTATCTGTTGCCTGTGTTTTCGAGGGTGTATCTGACTTCCTTAGGTTGGAATTTTCCTTCTAGTGCTTTCTGTAGGGCTGGGTTTGTGGATAAGTATTGTTTAAATCTGGCTTTGTCATGGAATGTCTTGTTCACTCCATCTATGGTGATTGAAAGTTTTGCTGGGTATATTAGTCTAGGTTGACATCCATGGTCTCTTAGTGTCTGCATTACATCTGTCCAGGTTCTTCTGGCTTTCAAAGTCTCCATTGAGAAATCGGGTGTTATTCTGATGGGTTTGCCTTTATATGTCACTTGGCCTTTTTCCTTTGCTGCTCTTAATATTCTTTCTTTATTCTGTACGTTTAGCTGTTTAACTATTATGTGGCGAGGGGACTTTTTTTTGGGGGTCTAGTCTGTTTGGTGTTCTATAAGCTTCTTGTATCTTCATAGGCATTTCCTTCTTTAAGTTGGGAAAGTTTTCTTCTATGATCTTGTTGAATATATTTTCTGTGCCCTTGAGTTGGTATTCTTCTCCTTCTTCGACCCCTATTATTCTTAGGTTTGGTCTTTTCATGGTGTCCCAAATTTCTTGGACATTTTGGTTCATGACTTTGTTGGCTTTAGTGTTTTCTTTGACTGATGAATGTATTTCTTCTACTGTATCTTCAACGCTAGAGATCCTCTCTTCCATCTCTTGCATTCTGTTGATTATACTTGCATCTGAAGTTCCCAATCGTTTTCTCAGATTTTCTATTTCCAGCATTCCCTCTGTTTGTGTCTTCTTCATTTTTTCTATTTCCCTTTTCAGGTCTTGGACTGTTTCCTGCATTTGTTTCATTGATTTTTCTTGATTTTCTCTCAGTATTTTATTGTTTTCTTCCAGGACTTTATTGATTTCTTCTAATTTGTTTGCCCTTTCCTCTAGTTGTTTACAGCGTTCTTCACATTTTTTTGTCTTTTCCTCTACACAAGCCTCTAGCTTCTTCATGATGTCATTCATAAGGCTGTTTTCTTCTGCTTCTTCCAATTTCTGATGTTCAGGTCTAGGTGTTGGAGGAGGGCTAGGGCCTGGTGATGCTGTATTGCTATTCATTTTGTTGTATATGTTTCTGCCTTGACGTCTGCCCATCTCCTTGTGGTTTGTTCTTGGCCTTATCCGCACACTTGGTTCAGACAGACCAGTGTTCCAAAAGGGAAGTCAGTGTTCCAAAAGGGAAGTCCGGAGCAAGATGGGAGCTGGGGGCCGGCCTCTAAGTCTCAGGAAGAGGCTTGGGGCTCAGGCGGATGGGCGTGGGGGCAGGGCGTGGAGACTGCAGGGTCTGCCAGGGGTCTTGGAGAAGGGGATCCTTCCCGGTGGGGCTAGCAGGGAACCTGCCCGGTGGCCAGAACCTGGGGCCAAGTTGGGGAGGTCTTCCCTGGAGTGGCTGGTGCCCAGGGATGGGGTCTGGGGCAAGGAAGCCTAATCTATTCTCAAAGTGAAGCGGGCAGCTCTTTTCAGTATAGTCCAGACTAAAGTTTGCTCATTCAGTTTCAGAGTTGAAATGATTGACAGGCTCCCAGTGACCTGGCTGCAGAGCCTCCTGGAGCCTACCACCTGCTATTTCCTCTGCAGGCCTGCTGTTCCTTTTATTCCAGTAACCTGATACCAAATACCTTCCTTGAGGCTTCTTCTGATTTGTTTTCCTTAAGCCAAAAACTCTCTTCCAATAACTCCCCCAATGGCTTCCTCACTGCTGAGTGTGTGTTTCCATGGCTCTCCCACTGAGCTAAGTCCCTACCCTTATTTCTCTCATGCTCTGCATTCTTAATCTGTTTGATCTTTTCCATAGAACTGTTCACTACCAACATTGACTTACGTATTTATATTTTCTGTGTCCTGTTTTCACTAGAATTTCAATGAACTAAAGACAGGGAATTTTGTCTGTCTTCATTGTTGCCCTGAGGAGGAGTTTTGTCAGCACATGGAAGTTGCTCAGCGATGACATGTTTCGTAAAAACAGGCCTCAGCCCACCAGGAGGGCAGTTCTGCTACCATTGATATGGGTTAAATTCCGTTAACCTCCCTCCACCCCCAAAGAAGTTATGAAATCTGAGCAATGTAGTGAAGATCCTGAAGAATGCTTCAAAACAGAATGCCAGCCCAGGTGTCGAGACACTGCGCTCTTCTTCCCTTTTCACCCTAGTTTGAACAGTCACAAGGTGGCAAGACTAAAGTGCAAAGCTGCGGTAGTTTTTGAGTTGAAAAGCCAAGGGGCAGAAGTAAGGGATGTCTACATGGCTCAGAATTTACCCTCAGTAGGAAAGAATTACAGAGATGGAGGATCACAGAGTAAATATCAGCTTTCTGCAAAACCCTGGAGAGCCCAAGCCTTTCAGTTGAATGCAAGAGCTTATATATTTGAGGGGCTCAGTGGAGATTTTGGCTACTGCCTGTGTTAGAGAAGACCCGTATTTGGAGTATGAACTGTAACAAGTCAGGATGCTTGATGAATATCTTCTTCTGTGGGAAATGGGTGAAGTCTTGAGTGAATATTCATTAATGACATAACATTAGCCATGTCAAGGACCCCAATGCCTCAGACCCCTAGAAAGAGCAAAACCTTCCCCAGGTCAGGCTCAGAGGAATAGCAAGGCCTTTAACTGATCCAAATACTAATGTTGACAAACTGTTGATCTTTATCTAAAACCAGTGTGTACAGAAACTATTGACCACAGATTCCTCCTCCCAGATTACTGCGACCTGATGCAGTTCCTGTACCAAGATTCCCTACCCCACTGCTTTCTTCTCCTGGTTCCTGCTATATATAATAAATGTACTGAGTTTATGGGTTGTTGTTGGTGTATCTCCATCAGAACACACCGTCTACCTGATCCAGGCTTTTCTACATGTGTGTCTGTTATTTTTTCACTCCCTATTAACTCAATTAAATCAGTCCCTAAGCCATTCTCATGGTAATTTTCCACTTAAATATTATTACCTTATATTAAAGACTATATCACAGTGTTTAATTTCTGAGATTTTTCTTAATTAATAAACAATCTAAAAATACCCATGTTTTAACAATGTATAAAAAGCAAAACCACAAATTAAAGAAGAGCAATTAATAATTTGATAATCATCTAGGGAAACATCAATAATACTAAGAGAACAATAACAGAATCCAACACCTCCCCAAAAGTGTGTTCTACCATTTGTAAACAATAATAATTTTTAAATATACAGAATAAAGCTATGACCCTTGGGTCAAGAAAAGAAGCAGTGCAGTTGAAACAAATCAACAAATTCAAAGATGAATAGATTTTCAAACCACTATTATAATTCTGTTTAAGGACCAAAAATGGGCATATTGAAAAACATGTAGAGAATATTAGCATAAAATGTAAACTTTAAATTAGTAAATAGTGTACATTCTTTTTTAAATTTATATATTTTACATCCCAACTGCGGTTTCCCTTACCCCCTCTCTTCCCAGTCCCTCCCCCACTTCTGCTCTGCCCCCACCCAGTCCTCTCCTCCTTTCTATCAGAAAAGGGCAGATCAACAAAACATGGCATAGCAAATTGCACTAAGACTAAGCACCTCCCATTATATTAGAGGTTGGGCAAGGCAAGGCAATAAGAGGAATGGGGTCTTAAAAGCCAGCAAAAGAGTCAGAGACAGCCTCTCTTCCCACTGTTAGGATTCCCACAAGAAGACCAAGCTATCCAACTGTCAGATATATGCAGAGGGCCGGTCAGTCCCATGCAGATTCACTGGTTGTTGGGTTAGTCTCTGTGAGCTCCTATGAACCCAGATTGGTTGATTCTGTGAGTTTTCTTGTGATGTTCTTGACCCCTCTGGCTCCTATAACCCTTCCTTCTTCTCTTCAGCAGGATTCCCTGAGCTCAGCCTAATGTTTGGCTCTGGATCTCTGCATCTGTTTCTATCAGTTGCTGGATGAAACTTCTCTAATGACAGTTGAGCTAGGTACTAGTCTATGAATAAAACAGAATATCATTAAGAA